GCAGGGGGAGCTGTTTTTTAACCCAGCTCCCTCTGCAGCCCAGCCCCCCTGCCACCCTATGCTGCTGCCTCTGATACAGAGGCAGCAGCATGGGACAGCAGGGGGCTCACCTGGAGTGGGGCTGGGAGTGCACTGGCTGCCATCCCCAGGGACTACTGAATAGTCATGTAACTGACAAGATTCTGTGTGGTTATATGACTATTCAATTATATGATAGCTAACACTCCTACCCTGCAGGCATGCACCCTTCCCCTTTCAAAGTCCCAGCAAGTATCTGCCAGCTGGGTGAACTGCTCCATTTGGGGAACAAAGAACAAATCATTGGACTGCTTCTGTTCTACCTGCACGAGGGACACAGCGGCAGAGCGAAGACTGGAGAGACAGCTGTGCTGCTTTGACATTCCTCAGCAGGGAGAGCTCACAGAACCACGAGGGAATCCCTAGAAGTGCAGGGATCAGCTCTGCCTTCCCACAACACTTCACTGTGGGATGCTTACCCACAGCACTTTGCTCTGTCGACAGGGGAGCTAGCAATGTGGCCATGAAATGTCGACAATGGGAGGCAGAAAAAACAGTTTGACCGGTTTTCACTTTTGGCCATGTTTGCATGTCGAGAGCACTTTCCTTGCCAAACCTTCCCAGTGTAGACAGAGCATGAGGATACACCCATGTTCTATTAGTTTCTGAACTGCGGACTTACCTCAGTATACTGCTACTAGCATTTAGACACCTTTCAAAACAGCCACTGGAGAACCATCCTGACCTGTGATGGTCCACACTAACAAGTTCCTGCACACGGCTCCACTTGCTGCACAAACATTTTGTTAGCTTACAATTAAGGGAGCTGATGCCAAAAATCGATGCCAAAATAATACAAACTTTTCAAGAGATTGGACGTGCATTTCCACTTAAGTCCCGAGTCCCTGCACCATCAGAAAGACAGGACAATGGCTAAAAGCCACAGCCGAACCCCTCTTAAGTGCTATAGCTAAGTTCTCTCTAATACTTGTCACCTTATCATTTAGATTTTAAAGCAGAAGCAGCCATCCGGATGGCCCAGTCTGGCCTCCTACAAAACAGAGAACTCACTTCTTTCTGGCTGAGCTAGATCATCTTTTTTCAAATGTCAACTGGAAGGCTGCAAGTGATGGAGAAACTATCACATTCCTCAGTAAGTTCTTCCAATGCGTAATGATCCTGGCTGTGGAAAGGGTGCCCCTTGTTTCCAGTCTCAGTCAGTCTGGCTTTCGCTTCCAACCACCAGACCTCATTATAGCTTTCTCTGCTAGGTTAATCCATTGTCTGCTGTCAGGAATCTCTCCCTACTGTAGATCCTTGTAGATCAGGGGTGGGTATAATCAGGCCTGGAGACCGGGCCTGGCCCACCAAGCATTTCTCTCCAGCCCACCCAGCTGATGAGCAGAGATGCAGACTTACAGCTGGCAGCATGTGTAACGCTGCCCCTCCCCCATCCTGCTCTGTACCCCAATCCCTGTATCCCATCTCTGCAGAGCAATGGGTTAGGAGAGGCAGACACACAGCGGAGCTGCTGCAGTCTGAAGCATGGATGGTAAGTGACTCGGGGAGTTCCTAAGATATCAGTGCTTGTGCGCTCGCTCTCTCTCTCTCACTTCTCACGTCCCCCTGCAATACTCCATCTCTGCAGAGCAGGGAAGGGGGAGACAACAGAGCAAAGCAGCTTTCCCTATTTTAAAGAGACAGAGCGTCACTGCCACATACACACACTCCCAGCCTCTGTGCCACACACACTCACTGTGTGTCACACAAGTCTGTTTCTCACACACAGAGTGTGTCTCTTTCATGCTCACACACCTACTTTCTCTCTCTGTAGCCCTTCAGCCCCACTTCTTCTGCCTGAAGAGCCGGGAGCCAGCTCGTGATGAAGTAGCCCCCCTGCAAAAATTATTGCTCACCCCTGTTGTAGACAGTGACCAACTTACCCTCAACCTTCTGTTGGATCAACTAAAAAAAGTGAGTTTTCCACACTCCTGATCCAATTTTTTAATAGGAAATCTATAAATCAGATCCTCTTCTATATTTTTTGTGTAAAAAAACCAACATACAACCCCATTGCAATGATAACACAGACCAAGTCTACAGCATTTGACCAAGTGTATATAATTAAGGCCCACAAATAGCCCTAAGAGATGGCTACATAATTACCTGCCTTTTACAACTGGGGAGACTGAGTCACAGAAACGTTGAATGACTCGCCCAAGATCATTAGGAATCAGTGGAAGGGCCAGGATTAAAACTCTAGAGTCTCTCCTGAACAGCCCGATGCTCAAACCACTAACCCACATGCCATAGCAGCCTAAGGTTTCTTTCTTGCATTTCAATACTCTGAAAATCAGCTGCTCATTTCAAAACCCTGCTGGAATTCCCTGCACTGGGAAAGCGCTTCTGCGTGAGCTTTGGGAGTGCTGCTCTGGGCTAATGGGTGCAGCTGCTGTCAGTTGGAGGAACACCCTGAACACAAACAGGAAATAAGGCTGAGATGAAAGATACAAAAGATATAATAGCCTGTGCACAGCAGGTAGTGAATGAGGAAGAAAGCAGCAAGGATTATGCAGACATGAGCGAGGTAACAGGACACAGGGTCTCCCTCATCTCAGAGTAGGTCTTCATTCGAGCTGGGTGCAAATCCCAGTATCAGATATGCTAGCTTTGACTGAGTTAGTGCATTCAGAGTAGCAGAGTGACTACTCCACTACTTATGCAATCCCAGCTGGGCCCCTAGGTACAGACTCCAGCAGCTAGCACAGATGTGTCTTCCCCAGCCTG